CATTCCTGCATTGCAATACATTCATTCATAATGAATGGAGTTTCGGTCTCTAATGGGAGAATTGCTCAAGACCTGAGCTAATCTGGTGAAAATGTACAAACACTCTCCATCAATAGCATTGACTAAGGTTATTGTTCACCAAGGTGGATAAAACCTAAGAAAGTCCTTTAAGGAACTCGGCACAAACCTGCTTCTCGGCTCTGGGCCTCAGTTTCTTCGGGGTTTTGCTTCTCCTCTGTGCCGTTACCACCTATCAAGAAAAACGCATAAAAATTATTTATGATATATCTTTTTATTGGTAACAACAGCAGCAATATTAATTGTAACCAATTCAGCACAAACTGCTAATTTACGGCAAGGCGCTGTGATAAAAGGGGAGAGATACAAAGGTAAACCAAAAAAACCTGTGAATGTAACCAGTTACATTTAAAACAGTCACATTTTCACATCTCAAGCAGAGGAAGCGGGGTTAGATTAAAGATTTTATCTCAATAGGCACACTGGAAATATCTGTATAACAAATAAAGACATGTTTCCCTAAACACTGTCTGCAATAGATGAAATTGTTGCTTGATCTCAGTCTATGTATTTTATAAAGATTTTTTTCTAGGATTATTTTCCTCTAGTAACATTTCCACAAGATCCTTGAAGTGGCTGTGTTTCTGACTTGCAGAACCTACTTTAATGCCTATGGAAGGTAAGAATAGGAGGGGGAGAACCACCCAAATTTTATTTTAAAGCAAAAGGCACAACGCCACTTCACATAAAGTATAAAAATGCATCACAAATGACTGCCAAGAAGAGAGCAAAATAAACCAAAGTAAGATGGCTAGGATTGAATGCATTTTTCCCCTTTTTACATTCACATTCATTCCCAATTTTCTCCACTACTTTGCTTTCGCATTCATTATCCATTTTCTTCCCTCCAGCTCCCTTTCGGAAGGAAGGTAACAAACAGCAAATTACCACCTAGAAAAGTAATACCCTGGGGAATGTCTATGGGCACGAGATCAAGCTCTCTTAACCTTTGCTCGGCCTGATTAGAAATATATTAGGAAGTCTGTATTTTCAACGATGGAGAAGGCTCTTCTAGCTTCATAATAATATTAGAGTGCAGCATGCTGGATCAGATGCGATGGCTACGCTCCCTCTTTTCCAGCATGGCGAGATAGACGGTGAGAACAGCTGAGTACCAGTCTTAATGAGGCATTTGAAAAACTGACTGCTGAGCATATATACTGGGAGAAAGGAAATTCATTCCCAGGCCTGTAAATGGCTTGATAATGATACACATATTTTTTGCTGTGATCTTTTCTGGCTCCTGGGTTTTTCTGATTACAGCTTCTCTAAAGCAACACGGTTAAAGTTCCTCGCGCCACCACCTTGCTTTTACTTAACACATGGAGTCTGTTGAAGAGAACAGCAGTAGCCCGAATGCAATTAGGTGGATGGAAGAAAAACAGAGAAAGCGCGTGTTTTTCAGAAGCAAATGTACATCTGGTGGCACGCTGAATTCAGCTAATATTTAAAGGCTGAGGTATGACGCTCTCCCTCTTTCCAGCAGGCAATACATCCTGGCATCCAGCAGATGGGACTAGCGGAGAAGTATTTCCAGGCTGACCCTGCAGAGAGCTGCTCTCAGGAAGACAGGAGATGGAGCAGGATTTTGAGAGCCCACCTGAGCAGGGAGAGGTGGGCAGGGAGCAGCTGATGGCCATCAGCGGGGACTCAGGCCTCCTGCCTGCTTGGTAACTCTTTGTACCGATTTTAACCAGCCTTAATGTATGACTAGCTGTAGTGATTTCTTAGCACATTAGCGAGCTCTAACCTGTAAAAAATTGCATTACATGGATGACCAAAATGGCTTGATAAAACCAGCTGGGTTTTTCCTTGCCCCGCTTGAAATCAAAAAGTATTCTCTTCAAAATCAGTGTTCTGCCTTTCCACACACAATAGGAGGACTGCACACAAAATAGAAAGTCAGCTGTACTAGAAGATAAACTTTCTCTCCCCCTCCCCTCTTCTTCTAAAACATGGGCTTGGGACTTCGCAAGCTTTGCAGCAAGCAATTAATAAATACGGAAAAAAAAAAAAAAAAAATCCTTTGCATCACCAAGATGTGTTTCAAAGGGATAAAGTCACCTAGCTCAGGAGCTGCAGAAAGGAATGGTATGTTCAAGACAGTCCTGTAACACAACAGTGCAGTGACACTTGAAAAATCTTTACCATTAGGTCAGATCCAAAGAGAATATTGCATCACTGCGAAACAAGTTGTGCCAAAGCATAAAGGATTTAATTATGGCCAAGTGCAACATGTTTTTCTTTGCACAGAAGGACTTTACATTCAGAAAAAGCAGGCCAGGCATAAATGGTAACTACCGATATATCACTGATAATAATTTCGGCAATTACGTTACTGCATTCGCAATGTAAACTACATTTCCGGACGACACTTGTTTCTACATCCTTGTTTCTACATTATAACAAGTATGACTACAACCAGTAGTTATTTGGCTAAACCCAGGTATTTCAAGGATTCATTCATGCTTATTGCCAAGGGACTACATCTCTTGTTAAAGTCACATACTCAGAGCAAACTTAAAACTACAAAAGAATGTTTAAATGATCATCTGGTTCATCAGATTATCAGATAAAGCAGAAATTCATCAGTACGTTTTGTCAACCCTAAGTCTATTATTTCACTGGAGATTCACTGTTTAAAACTGGTATAATAGAACGATAATTACAGCACTATATATTGAATTCTCAACATGTTTTCCATCTAACACTTCATTTTGTTCCTTTAGAAAGAAAAATGTAAAAGACTTTAAGCAGAAGCTTCACCTCTTGTACCCCGACCCAGTCCAACAGACTGACTGGATTGTGACATGAAAATTAATCTCAATCAGCATATTGAAAGTACGTGTTGTGCATGTGAAGTGACTTTGATAGAATTAGAGAAAAGGAAACGCTAAAAAATGACGAGTGGACAAGCGATCCTCAAGTAAACGACTTGCAGAAGGAAGGGTTAAGCTCTGCTTGGCCTGGGGAATCTTTTCATCTCAGGAGAAAGGGAGGAAGCAGGGTACGAATACAGCGATAAGAAAGCAAACTATCGGGTGGAGAAGTGACTAATCCCAAAGCGTCTGACAGAGTTTTTTCCGTTTTTTAAAAACCCTTCTAATGAGCCTCTCACCAAGTGCCTTCTACTGGTGAAGAGTATTTCTGAAACTATTGCTCTCCATTGGAGCTGGGTGCAGAGCAAATGGAAGGGCTTTAAGCAGCACATGCTCAAGGCAAGGAGCTGAAAATATATTTTACAAGAGTAGTAAGCCAGTTTTTCACCATATTTTTATTCACCCCTGGCTCTCCTTTTCTCCAGGCAGAAAAGCCAGATCCAGTGCAATTCCTTTGAGTCTTCCCCATTACATTATTAATAATAAAAATGTCTTTTCCACTGGATGGCTTCTACAGTATCTGCCATCCTTCTCTTTCCACTACTGCAGCAACTGGCGATTGCATTTCCTTTAGGTGAAAGCTGTCCTCACAGTATCTGCTTTTCTATTATGCTAGTAATTGAACAGCAATCTGTCACTCACTCCAAAGCAGATAGAAAAAGTGGCGAATGACATGTCGTGTCATTTTAGGCCAGCAAATGTAAATGATTTTGAGCCACATCAAAAGACAAATGGGAACATCTGTTTCTTTTCCCCGGCATGGCAGTCAGTTGAAAAAACAGGAGTTTGAGAATTACAGTAGCACCGTACAAACAAAATAAGCACATCAGACACTAAAATACCTACTCCTTGCTATGTATTTTGCTTTCCCTTGCCAAACTGACTACTGCCTGATCAGAGCTTGCTCTCTCCTTTTGGCCTTTTTCTTTGAGATCAGCAAGAAAATTCCCCCCAAATGATATATACCCTCATTTATATTTGGTAGAAAACAGGCTAAACAGTGATCAATCAGCACACTCAGCAAGCTGGCAGAGCAAGCGGCACTTCTAACTAAACTAGAAAACCGGATACTCTGCGAGTGCCTGCCCACTTTATGTTAAGGAGAGGTATTTAGCATGCACAGTGATATGCCAGCTGCAGTAGCAGCCCCAAAACGAAGCAATGATATGATAAATAATAAACTGGCAGTCAGATGGGAGAGGGCTGGGACAAGATCCCTATGAAAGTTCAGAGGACAAACTCTCAGCAGCAGCACCAGAGTGGGTTTCACTATTCTTCCCATTTTCTCCAAGACCCTTGGAGGCATGTGGCTTTTTACATCTTTCACTGTTCTTGCGACAAGCGTGGCAAGTCAAAAATATTAATAGCCTGCTGGCCTCTTGGCTCTTCCCATTTCAGAGCTGAATCAGTGCCAGGTTCACTCATACATCTACTCCTCTTCAGCAGTAACTTTCTTCACAAGCAGTCAGTAATGTACTTAGAGCTGAGGCTAAAGTCAGTATCTCAAAAACTGGTACAAAAAAGACATTTTTCCAGAAGAAAACAGAATTGCAGATAACATATTTTTTAGTTAAAGGAAGAAATTCTGCATAACCGGTACAAACCAGTCCACTTCTACCTCTCCAACATAGATGTTATTAATAATAACATTGTTTTCACTACTGAGAAGGCTGTACGTGTACCACAGAATCACAGAATGCTTTGGGTTGGAAGGGACCTTTAGAGGTCATCTAGTCCAAACCCCTGCAGTGAGCAGGGACAGCTTTAACTCTATCAGGTTGCTCAGAGCCCCATCCAACCTGACCTTCACCACCACACCGGTGCTTCACCACCCTCATTGTAAAAAATTTCTTTCTTATATCCAGCCTAAATCTATTCTTCTTTAGTTTAAATCCATTACTCCTTGTCCTGTCACAACAGGCCTTGCCAAAAAGATTGTCCCCATCCTTCCTATAGGCCCCCTTTAAGCACTAAAAGGCCACAATAAGGTCTCCCTGCAGCCTTCTCTTCTCTAGGCTGAACAACCCCAACTCTCTCAGCCTGTCCCTCACAGGAGAGGTGCTCCAGCCCTCGGATCATTTTTGTGACCCTCCTCTGGACCTGCTCCAACAGCTCCATGTCCTTCTTGTGCTGAGGGCCCCAGAGCTGGACGCAGTGCTCCAGGTGAGGTCTCACCAGAGCAGAGTAGAGGGGCAGAATCCCCTCCCTCGACCTGCTGGCCACGCTGCTTTTGATGCAGCCCAGGATTCGGCTGGCTTTCTGGGCTATGAGTGTACGTTGTCATCTCACATGC